CCCCCACCCCCCTAATAATTTACTGTCATTACAGATTTTCCTACTTGATCTTCATTCATTGAAATTATTTTGCTTAGCCATTGAGAACACCAAAGGCCCATCATGACCAGAGTTCTATTCATCTGACCGTTACCGTTAACAACTCATATTCAGTATAAACGCCTAAATCACAAGAGTCGCCCTCTGTGCTGTCTCCATTTGCATATAACTGTGGATCAGCAGACCGTAAAGACTCACCGCAAAGGTCTTCGTAAGGCTTGATACCCGAGCAGCAGATCGATATGGCAGTTTATTTAGTTCAGGTTAGTCTTCCACTAGGTTATTAAACCACCGGACAGTCCGGCAATCTGGTCAAATATCATGCTTGAAAGTTAGGAGGCATGACCTGCATTCAGGTTATGTGCAACGGCTGAAATAGGACACCTCTATGTAATCGCCTAGTCCTGATTCTAGCCTTTGTTCTAACATGTGCTGACACAGTTTCGCTCGCAAGCCACCGGGTGATTGCTGTCGTAGTTCAGTCTGTGTCGTGTTATTTGCCTCCCTGTATGTACTTGTGCTTTGATTTCGTCGTTTTACCTACGTCTGAGAGTGCATAGAGGAAAGAAAGCCACCGCCTTTTATTTTTCTTCGCTGCTAGCTTGCTAGATGTTATAACAATGATGCCAGAAGTATCATGAAGATTTCACACCATGCTTCGTTAGATTGCCATGACAATATCTTGATGGAAATTTCAAAATATGGACTTGTGGTAGTTGGATACCGTTCTAGAGCTTATATAACAGGTTCCGAAAACTGGCCGCAAATTGTTAGGCGCATTTGAGTCTGACACATTCGTTTGTTTCACCGCCTAGTGAAAGGAGAGTTTATTGGCAGAATCCAAGCAATCTCATGTCGGTCAAAGACTAGTCATAGTCTGTAGTTTTTCAAGGAAGTGAAAATGTTTTTAGTTTTAAGACAGCCTAACGAAGTCGAAAATGACTTAACAACACAAGGAAGTTGTTCTCGATGAGTTCTTTCCCCTCATTGGCGTTTGCAATCAAAGTCGAGGGGAGTGGAAGCACATATTTGCCACAGCAACAGACATCACGGTCTTTTATTGTCGACGTTTTTGACCTCGGACGTCTGAGAAACTAAGAGGCCCGCTTCATTTATCCTGGCGAGTGTCGACTTTGCTTCCTGCTATTCGTTCAAATAGATTTTATCCTCGCACCTCACTTCAGCACCTTAGTGGTCCAAATGCTGTATCGTCGGTCTGGCTTGAGGCGTCGAGGTAGCTCTGGGGACCGCTGACGACAGCTCTGTTTTTCATATGACATGCGATTTCTCCAGCAAAATGATCATACCGGGTCTGTTCCTTCAATCCCAGAAGTCCAAAAGCATAAACGCTTAGTCTACATGTTCTAAGTGAGAAGTGGTGTCAACATAAGCCCCTTTGATCAACTGCTGGCAGAGCTATCCGAAGGCCTATGAGAGGTCTCTGGAGTAGTTTGCAGATCCTTTTTTTGTAATAGATGAGAAGAGCAGCTAACAGTTTATCATTCACCTACCACCATATTCCGGCTTTTTTCGTCACTGTGGCTTCATCGGCCTATTCATGCTTTTTGTTACATTTTTACAAGCATACTACATTATTATTCCAATTGAAATATATTTCACTACCACTATGTAATCACTAACTGGCTGACCACCCACCTTTACGACCTATTTGTCGTTTCATGTCCCGGGCTTTCTACGGCCTGTATGCTCAGCTACCGCCCGACTTAGCAGATAATGCTTGTACACACGTGATTCCCCGGTTCTACATCCGTCGTTTTAATTCATGCCTGTGCTGAGGAATCAAGTCCTGGTTCCGTTCATTAAGTCTATGATTGGCACCTAGACCGGATAAACGAGCGCGTTATGAGCGCGTAACTCTACCTGATCGCATTATCAGAAATGTATGTCGCGGCAACACGATGCAATTATAACTATGGTGCAGTTGCCCTGCACCCATTATGCAAGCTTGATCGACGTCCTGGGTAAGCAGGTCAAGAAGAAAGTCAGTTACACCGTAAAGCAGAGCATCTGATTTAACCCTTTCTTCCTCTTCTTCGCACGCACATACAGCTATTTTGCACTCTTATTCCCACGTCTCTCCTCCTTTGTGGTTGATTGTGCGCGCACGATAGTTCGACCGATTGAAGCTGCTCTAGTCGATGATTTATCTCACAAAACACTAACTGAACTTCTGAGAAAACCTTAGTTGGTTTCGGTAGACGGCGCTCACCGATCGCTAACGGAACTCGCTCGTCCCATTGTGTCTCGGGGTTCGTTCTCGAGCCCTACCAGCGGTCGCTCAATTTGTACTATATTATGGACAGAAAGACTTCACCGAAATAAAAAAAAACAGGGAGACTTTAATGACCATTTATGGTTTATTAGTTGTCATCAACCGAGGCTCGAACCCGCAATCGGTTGGTTGGTTGGCTTGTAAGCCAGAAATGGCCATTCCAGTCTCTCTTGTTGTGTTTTCGGTAATCTCTTAGTTGGTTGCGCTGAAAATGTTACGGCGCTCCCCGCGGGAGCCTACCTAGCGAGGTGTGCTCTTGGTACGCGTATTGAGTGTCACTCGCGCCAGTCGCCTGCGCCTCTTGTTTTTACATCGGACACAGGCCTGGTAGTGGTCAGAGTATGAGGTAGATCCTGTGCGAGTCTACTTTCACTATAATTCAACTGTAGTCATCACGCTTGCCTTCAACTTGCTCAAGCTCGTGGTGGACATTGTCGAGAGCGACGGTCGAACTTTCGGTAATATTGACTATCATTCGATATACTTCCAAAATATTCAATTCTCATCCCCTTCCGCAAAATGCTTATAACAAGAGATATATTTTTGCGTGCCTCCTACAAAACATGTATGCATCTGTAGAAGCCTTGAAAGCCAGTGGATATTACTTTAGTAGTCACTTTTAAGTCGTGTGCTCGCGGCAGACGGCCTAAAATATGCCCTTTCAAAAGCCGACACACTGCCTAGACTCATATATCTTGAAAATAGGCTGCATGATAATCTGTATCTGTATACTTAATAAAAGAGATCTTGTAGCTTTGTGCGGTTCCT